AAAAGGTCAGCCAAGTGTTTAGACAGAGTTAAGTTATGGCACCAGGAAATGTCGCAGCCCTCCTGCGTTGGGTTCTCGTTTTGATTGAAGCATTGCGTTCTCCAACCTTCCTTCCTCCTCCTCCCCTTTTGCCTCCTCCTCCCCCTTCTGCCTCCCTGTGGGGCTGCGAAGTGTGAAACTGTCGCCACATTCGTGGGTTGATGGGAGGTCGCGCGGGGGGGACATGATACGAGGATCCTGTTGAAACATCGCAGCCCCCCTGGGGGCTTGCGAATTGTGAAACTATCGCCACATTCGGGGTTTCCGGGAGGTCGCGCGGAGTGGAGTTGTACGGGGACGCAGTTGCGACCTCGCGGCCCCTTGGGGGGTCTGGGGCTGCGAGAATGCAAAACTATCCCCACGTTCGTGGGCTCCTGGGAGGTCCAACCGTGTGGAATTGCACGGGGACCCGGTTGGGACCTCGCGTTTCCCTGGGGGCCTGCGAATTGTGAAACTATTGCCACATTCGTGGGCTTCTGGGAAGTCGCGCGGAATTGAATCGTACGGGCACCCAGTTGCGACCTCGCGGCCCCGTGGGGGGCTGCGAAAGTGTGAGACTGTCGCCTCGTTCGTGGGCTCCTGGGAGGTCCAGCGGAGTGGAATTGCACGGGGAGTCGGTTGGGACCTCGCGGCTCCCTGGGTTGCTGCGACGGGCGAAACTGTCGCCACCTTCGTGGGCTCCTGGGAGGTCGGGCGGAGTGGAGTTGTACGCGGACCCAGCTGAGACCTGGCGGCTCCCTGGGTGGCTGCGACGTGTGGAAGTGGTACCATTTTCGCGGGTTCCTGGGAGGTCGGGCGGAGCGAGCTTTACAAGGGCATGCCCTCGCTGCTCCATGGGGGGGCTGCGAGGTGTGCAGCCGTCGTCATGTTCGCCAGATCCTTGGAGGTCGCGCGGAGTGGAGTTGTACGGGAACCCAATGGAAGCCTCGCGGCTCCCTTGGGGGCAACGACGTGTGGAACTGTCGCTGCGTTCGTGGGCTCGCGGGGGGGCGCGCGGAGTGGGATTCGCTGCACCCTGGGGAGCTGCGAACTGTGAGACTGTCGCCACTTTCGCTGACTCCTACAGGAGGTCGCGCGGATTGAAAATACACGGGGGCCCAATTGAACCCTCGCGGCCCTCTGGAGAACTGCGAAGTGTTAAACTGTCGCCACTTTGGTGGGCTGCTGGGAGGCCGCGCTTTGTGGGGCTGCGCGAGAATCCAGTTGAGACCTCGCGGCTCCCTGGGGGGCTGCGAACTGTAAAACTGTCGCCACTTTCGTTGGCTCCTGGGAGTTCGCGCGGAGTGGAGTTGTACGGGGGCCCTGTTGAAAGCTCGAATTGTGAAGCTGTCGCCACTTTCGCGGGTTCCTGGGAAGTCGCACGGAGTGGAATTGCACGGGGACCCAATTGAAACCTCGCGGTTCCCTGGGGTGCTGCGACGTGGAACAATTGTTTCGCGCGGAGTGGAGTTGTACGGGGGTCCAGTTGAGACCTCGCGGCTCCCTGGGGGGCTGCGAATTGTGAAGCTGTCGCCACGTTCGTGGGCTCCTGGGAGGTCGCGCGGAGTGGAGCTGCACGGGGAACCAGTTGAGGCCTCGCGGCTCCATGGGGAGCTGCGAAGTGTGAAGCTGTCGCCGCTGTCGTGGACTCCTGGGAGGTCGCGCGGAGTGGAGCTGCACGGGGAACCAGTTGAGGCCTCGCGGCTCCATGGGGAGCTGCGAAGTGTGAAGCTGTCGCCGCTGTCGTGGGCTCCTGGGAGGTCGCGCGGAGTGGAGCTGCACGGGGAACCAGTTGAGGCCTCGCGGCTCCATGGGGAGCTGCGAAGTGTGAAGCTGTCGCCGCTCTCGTGGGCTCCGCCTGTACGACATGCTCCTCGAGCCGCAGGCGTCGAGCTCCTTGGGCATCCGCAAACACAAAGTCAGTCGCACGGGCCTGCCGATCTCCCGCGCCCAGGTGCCGACATCGACGGCGTGCCAGGGCCAGGCCATGCACCAGGGCGCGAGTGCCGATGCCCCGCAGAAGGATGCCGACGACGTGGACGGCCACTTGTCCACCTGCATGTCATGCCCTCGGGGGCGACGACATCGGACAACCTGCTCATGAGTGCGCGACCCGGGCCTCGACTCCTTGTCCCGGAGGCCGCTGGCGGACCTGGCCGCGCGCTTCCGGACGGCTGGCGCCGGCACGGAACGCGGCAGGAAGGCGGCAGAGAGGCTGGCGCGCGAGCTCGGCCTGGAGCAGTTCCTGCTCCTCGTTCCTAACCCCTCCCCCTCTACCCAGGGGGGGCCTCCTCCTTTTCCTCCTCCTCCTCCTCCTCCTCCCCCTCCTCCCCTCCTCCCCCCCTCCTCCTCCTCCTCCTCCTCCTCCTCTCCTCTCCTCCTCCTCCTCCTCCTCCTCCTCCTCCTCCTCCTCCTCCTCCTCCTCCTCCTCCTCCTACTCCTCTACCTCCTCCCCCTCCTCCTCTCCTCCTCCCCCTCCTCCTCCTCCTCCTCCTCCTCCTCCTCCTCCTCCTCCTCCTCCTCCTCCTCCTCCTCCTCCTCCTCCCTCCCCGCCACTCCCCAGGAGGGCTTCCTCCTCCTCGTTCCTCCCCCCCATGCGCGACTGACAGAAGCGCTTGCCTGCGGTGTCAGGCGAGCTCGCGGCAGTTGTCGCCCAGCGCCTCACTGGCGCGGGCGGCGACGAGAACTGCAACCGACGGCGGCTGCTCTCGTCGGAAGTCGTGGAAGCTCCCATGGCGCGCGGTGCTGTCCCGCCACGCAGAGCTCGGCGCTTGCGCCTCGCAGCTCGGAGGGAGCCGCCGCGCCGCGCAGCGCATGGCGCTGTCCTTCGCCCGCGTGGCCCTCCCATCATCGGCCGCCTCTGGCGCGACACGTCGACTGCTCCGCTCAGCTCGACGCGCTGCTTTGCTTCAGAGCGCACGGCGCTGTCCCGTGCCGGGCAAGAAGCGTGCGGCGCTGCTGCTGCCACTGACTATGTATGTCGCCCCACTCACCCTCCTCCGCATGCTTCTGCCCCCGTCCGCATCTGGCCACTCCTGCGTGCTGATCCCGTGCACTTCCGGCACCTCATGCGCACTGCGAGTCCTTCCACGTGTTTGCTTGCAACGGGCGGTCCTCAATCTATTCGCCACGTGTTGAGGAAGGGTTGGGTCCGTCACCGGGTATGTTTTGCCGTTTTCGCTCCTCCCCCCGGCATTTTCGGTTTTGCTCTCTTGCTGCCAGAGTAATGTCGGGCGTGCCCCCCTACAGGGGGATTTTCGACGAAAAACAAAAAAATACCCCCAAAATGCCCCAAGAAGGTCCAGACACACTCTGAAAAAGGCCCCAGACTATGTTTGGACCATTTTTGGGGTATTTTTGTTTTCGCCGAAAACCCCCCTGTAGGGGGACAGGCCCGACTTAACGCCAGAGACAACTAGTTCGCCGCGTGCCCCCGGGGGGACCATGTCCCCAGGAGGAGGAGGAGGAGGGGGAGGGGGAGGGGGAGGAGGAGGAGGAGGAGGAGGAGGAGGAGGAGGAGGAGGAGGAGGAGGAGGAGGAGGAGAACGCCCGTGCGGGGCGCCTCCGCCGCGCTGCGACGGGCACACCGGCTGCGCAACTTCTCCCCCCCAGGGAGGACCTGGCCATCGCTCGGACGTATCCATTCCCTGTGTTTTTGCTCGGTCTCGTGCGTGGCTTCTTCGCCACATGGTCAAGGATGCGCCTCGATATGGTCCTCGCCGAGCGAAAAATTGCTCACGTCCGAGCGAGGCATGCCAAGGGGAGCAGAGCACACCCGCTAGGGGGCCACCTGCGAACCCTACCCCTACCCCCCACGATTTCTGAGGGGGAGGGCGGGGTTCACTTCGTTCGGGAGCTCCCGAGCGAAGTGAACCCCACCCTCCCCCTCAGAAATCGTGGGGGGTAGGGGTAGGGTTCGCATGTGGCCCCCTACCGGACCAGGCGAAACCGACGGGGGCGCAACCGACCGTGGACGAAGCCGACCGCGGGCGAAGCCAGCCTGCCCCGCAGCGGGGAGGCGGGCGCGTGGGGGCCGCCCCGCCCTGGCGCCACACGTGCTGCGCCGTGGGCGGCGGGGATTGCCCTTACAGCCGACGAGTTTCCTCCTCCTCCTCCTCCCTCCTCCCTCCTCCTCCTCCTCCTCCTCCTCCTCCTCCTCAATCGCCAGCGAGAAGGCGCTGCGGGGACACCCGCCCACTGGGCGGCGGCACGCCCGACCGCCGCGCGGCACCCTCGGTGGCGCCCGGGCGCGCCGCCGCCCAGAGGGGCCGGCAGTCCTCCGATATTGAAGGGGCCCCAGGACACACAAATAAACACACACAAATAAAAAGATTCCCCATATTTTCCCATCTTTTCTGGGTTTTTGTCTTCCCCCCCACTTCCCATATTTCCCCATATTTTCTGGGAAATCCAGGATTAATTGTGTCTGTGTGTTTCTTTTCCTCCTGAGATATGGCTTCCCGCTGGCGCCGGCCCGTGCTCCTCGCAGAGCCCTCGGGCGCCTCGACTTTTTTCCGGCTCGCGGGCCCCCGACCTCTCGACCCAGACCCTGCTCCTCCTCCTCCTCCTCCTCCTCCTCCTCCTCCTCCTCCTCCTCCTCCTCCTCCTCCTCCTCCTCCTCCTCCCCCCTTCTCCCCCCTCCTCCTCCTCCTCCTCCCCTCGCGCTGCGAAAAAATCACGACGGGAGGTTTTTCGCTAGTGTCGGCCTTTGGGAGCCCTCACCGGACCTCGGGACCGTCAAAAAACGACTCGGGATGAAAAACCGGTCCCTGGGAAGGGGTCCAGACCTCTGGGGGTCGACGTCATGAAAAAATCATGACGTCGGGGGTCTGGGGACCACTCCCTGGGACCGGTCTTTCGTCCCGAGCCGCTTCTTGACGCTCCTGGGGGGTCCCCGAGAGGCCGAAAACGACAAGGCACCTCCGTGTATCGACCTTTCCGACACGCCGCAGTCGTCTGGGTCTATTGCTTTTCTGATGCGGTCCTCCAGGTCGTCGTCGCGGTCGTCGTCGTCGTCGGAGAAGTCGGGACGGCCACCCGGCCACCTCTCCTGGCGGCCGGCAGCCGCCGGCTGCGCCGGCACCTGTCCCGGCAAGCCCGCGCCCTCGACGATCGCCTCCGCCTCTTGCCGGCGGGCCGCCTCGATCGCGAGAGCCCGCTTGGCCTAGACGAAGCAGAAGAAGAGCAAACGACATGGGCTTCGGTCGGGAACGTCTGCTCAGCGTGACGCCGCGGCGGCCCCCGAAACACGCCGTGCCTTGCGAGCGGATGGCGTGTCGCTCCGCTCCGCGGGGCACCGACGCCTCGGGGCCGCAGCGTGGGGGGGGAGGGGGAGAGAGAGGGGGGGGGGGGAGGGGGAGGGGGAGGGGGAGGGGGAGGAGGAGGAGGAGGAGGAGGAGGAGAGGAGGAGGAGAGGAGGAGGAGGAGGAGGTGCCACAGAGCCGGCGGCGCGATTAAGCTAAGCGAAAGTGCCTGACCGCAGAGTTCCAGAGCTCCGCGCGGACTCCTCGGGTCGGCGCTGAACCCCCCCTCCCCTGGCGCGCGGAGCGTGCCAGGGGCGGCGACGGGGGCGCCGTCAGTGGGGGTCCAACGCAGACCCAGCAAAAATCACGCTGACCTTTACAAGCTCGTGTGTCTGCAATTTACTCTTCCTCCGGCAGCCTTGACCCGCTTCCTGGCATGCGCGAGCCACCACGTCATCATCCCCTTGCTGACCATGTCCACGCCGACGTCGAGGTCCGGGTCCCACGTCTTGCCGTCCCACCTCGGGTCCACGTTGAGCCCATCGTCCTCCTCCTCCTCTTCCGCGTCCTGCTGCGCGGAGGCAACCTTGATGGGCCTGTTTTCCACCACCACCACCACCACCATGGAGGGGGGAAGGAGGTGGAGGACGAGGAGGAGGACGAGGAGGAGGAGGAGGAGGAGGAGGAGGAGGAGGAGGAGGACAAGGAGGTGGAGGAGGAGGACCCCCTCCCCCTCCAACTCATGGTGGTGGTGGTGGAAAACAGGCCCATCAGACCTCTGGCATGGCGTCCACGCTCGCCGCCAATGCCTTCATGCCCTTGCGCCTCTCCGAGGGGTCCCGGAAGCGCCGCGCCAGCAGCACCGCCATCTCGAGCTGGCGCTTGCTGTCCCCTCCTAGAAGTGGCCCAGGGACACACAAATATATGGGCACCCATTCCAGGATTCCCCATATTTTCACATACTTTCGGAGTCTTCGTCTCCCCCCCCACTTTCCAGATTTTCCCATCTTTTCCTGGGGATCCACGATTCGTTGTGTCTGTGTGTTTTTTCCCCCTCCTGACCTCCGCTGATCGCCTTCTGCTGGGCCGCGCTCGCGTGCCCGCTCGGGCTCTCGCCCCTCTCCCTGGCGCAGCGCACGCAGAGCGTCTTGAAGAGGTGCTCGTGCCGATCCAGCCAGGCGTTCCACTGCTCCTTCTCGAAGGGCAACGGGGGGCAGCCGTGGTGCACCTCGAACTCCCGGCAGAGGCCGTCGAAGTCGTCGGCGAAGTAGACCGCGGGGCAGAGGCCGCTGGCCCAGACGCCCACCCGGGCCAGGACGAAGGGATCGTCCTCGGAGGTGCCGCACTGCTGGCACACGTCCCCGGCGTCGAGGTCCGCCTGCCTCAGCTCCAGCAGCTGGCGCATGGCGAGGCGCCGCCTGTGGGGGAACCAAGAGGTGCCGATACCGCCACTCCACGTACAGTCGGGCGTTGGCAGAACTGGGTTTCGTGGGACCTGGTTTAGGGGTGTGTACTGGGGGACGCCCCCCCCCCCCCGCCCCGTTCCACTAGCCAGAACTGCCGTCACCCGAAAAACACCAGCTACTGCAGACCTGGTCTAGTGATTCTGGCCAATTTAGGGGCTCTGGGGCCCTACTACTAACTGGGTCCCCTTACCTGGGGCCCTGGCTATACCTGACACAGACCTCTCCCGCCAGAACTTCGAAGCCAATCCAGCGGTGGCGACGAGGGCCTCCCAGGAGGCCCCAGCATAGGGGGGACGGCGGGCGACGGGCGGAGGCAGATGGGCACCCCTTCCTCCTCTCTGGGCCTGGCCGCCCGGATCCAGGCCGTCGCCGAGAGCGCGGCCACCGCCCCGACCACGCGCTCGTCCTCCGCGCCCGACGCCAGCCACGGCGGCGGCGGCAGCGCCGGCTGCGGCGCCGCGAGCGCGGGGGGCGGCGGCAGCACCGGCAGCGCGGGCAGGGGCAGCGGGTGCTGCTGCCCGGCGGCGGCCAGGAGGGGCGGCGCCCGCGGGACCGTCGCGAGGACCCCGAGGCCGGGCGTGTCCCGCGCGCCGCTCGGGGCCTGCAGCGCGGGCAGGACGGGCAGGCCGGGCAGGGCGGCGAGGGCCGCACCGGGCGGAGGGATCGAGGGCGGCTCGAGGACCTTGAAGCCGCGGTCGTCGACCTCGAGCTCGAGGAGGAGGAGGAGGAGGAGGAGGAGGAGGAGGAGGAGGAGGAGGAGGAGGAGGAGGAACACCACCAGATCACAAAACAGAGAGCAGCACTCGTGCCACTCAAAGCGACGCACTTCAAAGGCAAGCACCCACGAACGGGAAGAAAGGTCAGACTTGCAGACACCTTTGCCAACTGCCACCTGCTCTACTAAGCCGAAACATGGGACACACCATCAGACAGCATCATCACAGCACTCAGCACAGCTCCCAACCAAGCATATCGCAGCGCGACCCAAACGCACCACCTCCAAAAACTAGACAAGCCCACTTCCGACACACAACTACTACTACTCGCCGACAGCACCGACTACACCACCGAGCTCAGACCCCGACGACTTAAGTACTTAGCAAATCTGGCCCTCAACGGACCGCACATTCTACACCGACTTATCGACCTATGCCACGAGCAACAGACACAAGACGACCAGACCACAACAACACCGGACACTTGGGTCGACCTCAGAAAAGATGGCATCAGATGGATGCCAGAGCTTACCACCACGACAGACGACCCACAAAGACATTGGGACATACGCAGATGGCTACAATACACGCACGAGGCACCCAAGCAGTTCAACAATCAAGTTGTCAAGGCGAAGAAGAGACAACACATCACATTTAGCGACCTACTCAGCACAACACTCTGAAACGAAAAGAAGCAACAACTCGACTACACCAACACGACACAACTACGCAATCCTACCCCACAAATTGCAACCTAGAATTGCTACGAATGCGGACACACAAGCAGAACCATCAAAGACTGGAAAATGCACCGCACCCAAAAAACCACCCACCAGCTGACAACATCCAATACAAATTAAGAGGAAGCAGCTGCCAATGCTGCCACAAGCAATTTCACACAAGGCAGCGACTTCTCACACATCTCCAGCACTGGGTCACGAGATGCTACCAGCACTACATGCAAAACACCACCAGCATGACAAAAGAAGAGCTAGCAGCACTACGCACCGAGGAGGACAAGGAGAACAAGACCACCCGAAGCAAGGGCCTACGACACAACGCCGTGACAGTACCAGTCACCCTACCGCCCAATCACAAAAGACAAACAAAACAACACGACTACACCGACCCACCGACAACGGCCACACACACAGCCAACACCAAGGACTCCAATCACCGACGACAAGACAAGACCCATAGACATCCTACTACTCAACCAGCGTAACAGACACATCAACGACCTACAGCACAACCTCGAGCAGTATCCCATAACAAGGCACTGCACGTGCAAACGCACCAACACAACTGGCACAACAGGATACGACTTGGTTCACCAGCACACAGCTGAAACATGGATTGACAACATAACTCAAGGCGAAGTAGCTGCTATCATCGCAATCATGGGCGACAACATCAACCGCAACGACACTCCACGCCCACACACCAGATACTGGGGCTGCCCAAACCAATCAGCCAAGCAGCTACGCAAGACACGCAATCTCAATCGCAGACTCAAGAGCACACACCACTCGTCGCAGCAGCACAACACACCAACACGCCAGCAATAAGGATGACCAACACCAAACACAGAAGAGACCAGCACAGCATCTGGAGTATTACACCACTAAACCAACTAAATAGCTGAGCGCAACACAATACGATCGACCCATGCACACTGGGCCACGGCGACCAGAACACAACACGAATACGATCATGGCAAATGCCACGATTTGTACACTCACTCCACACCATGAGCAATGTTAACAGACGCACCTGCTCGGCACACTCACAGGATCACGCAAACGACCTCGTCGGTTCCTACAACATTCCAGCACGAATGTGCCACCTGATCACCACATGCATAGCAGACAAACTAGCGCATCTCGCAGCACCAAGCACACCAAGGACCATGCAAGGATACATATACTTCTAAACACACACACAACAACACTCAACACCGTTATGATGCATAAAAAACCCAAACCAGAACAACACCACAATCACAACGACCGGCCAACAGATACATCGAGATCCAGCGATATCAACTAACTCAATGTAATGTCACGCAGCACTCTACGCAACATTGACCTACTTGTAACAGACCAATCCTTCAACCGCGACAATAGAACTACATACCAACAGCCTCGCACCCTGCACAGGAACCCAGACGGGCATTCCTAGGGGAGAGGCACACAACGATGGTACAAGCAAGTTACACAACGACGAAACATCACACCCAGCAACACGTGCATATACCCAAGGCAACGAGTGCACAACATCCAACATGGACACTGCCTCGTACGCTGCATGGGAGCCCCAAGGGGCATGCCCGGGGGAGAGGCACCAGCATAAGATTCAGGTATTCAGTTGATCATAGAGAAGACACAACAGATCTTTCACCCAAACCTTCCTACCTGACATATGATCAACCTGAGAAGATTACTTGCAGCATCTATTCAAAACCCCATCATTCTACGACGCCATACAACTTATCCTTGCTCATTCATTATTCCTCCAACGACCTGGATATACCTTGTGGCAGTGTCATTAAGTTGCTCACGCGCCTACTGGAAGCAATACCAGGGAACACTCGTACCGATGCTCGACAGAGAGGTAGCGCACACATCGACAAGTACATGGTCAGCAACTCTGGCTCGGTACTGATATATACCTATACACGCACATTCGAACACACACAGTATCCCACACGCGTATCCGTTCTCATGAAGAGAGGTGAAATCCCAATACGAGAATTGCTCTAATCAGTACAGTGCCCTCCCATAGCCATTTGCTCCTACGCCGTCAATGCAGTCTTGGCTGTAGTGCTTGTTACAAAGATCGACGTAGCTCCTGTCCAAGCACCTACGCAGCACTCTTACGCAACACCAACTCACATGTGACGGACCAAGCAGTACAACCACGACAAGAAGACAGCACACCAGCCGCCTCAGACCTTGCATGGGAGCCCTGAGGGGCACACCTGGGGGAGAGGCACACGACACCGGTACAAGCAGCACCACACAACGACAACACAAAACACCAGCAACACTTACATGGACCCAACCATAGCAACAGGATGGCGAAATCCAGCTACAGTGGACAATTGCTTCATACCCTGCATGGGAGCCCCTTGGGCCATACCTGGGGGAGAAGCACTATCAGAACACTCAAGTACTGCAGTTGATCATACGGCAGATACATCAGTTCTTTCACCATGACCTCCTCATTTGGTGTACTACCTTGAGAGAAGAGAAAAGATATTTACACGAATATGATACGCAATACGTTGTTCTGTTATACCAGACAATTTATCCTTATACATCCGTAATTCCTCCAAACCCTGGATACGCTATGGACAGGGACCCCTAAGTTGCTCACGCGCCTACCGGAAGCGACATAAGGGAATGCACGTACCTATGTTTGGCACAGAGGCAGACAGGGTCCGATGCTCACACGCCTACGGTAAGCAATGCGTGATGCTATACGCGCATACATACTCATGATGAGTCGACCGCCTCACAGCGCGAATTACAAGGCCTGACACATACCAACATCAGACTCTTCTTACACGATCACCCGTTCAATTACGCAGAGATCAATGACATTCAATTGATGATTTTTCAAGCCTACGCGATGGCACACATCAGCCAGTGCCATGCCCTCCCACAACCATTTCGCCCACCTCTTCCGTACCATTTTTGGCTCCATTGTGATGGTGCTCCACGCGTCGACGCAGCACCTGTCTAAGCGCTACGCAGCGCACGACTCAGCAACGCTCAGCAACAACGGACCAACAGCACAACCACAACAAGGCTACAGCACGACAAGCAGCCTCACACCCTGCATGGGGCCCCTACGTGGCATACTTGGGGGAGAAGCATACGTCACCGGCATCAAACAAGACCGCGCAGCCACAACGCAACGGCACCCAGCACACACAGACGAACAACGGACAATTACTGAATCATACCCAGTATGGGAGCCCCAACGGGCATATCTGGGGGAGAGGCTTAATGCGACCAGGCATAACTTATGACGTCTCAAGGATGTACATATGTGATGCGACCATTTCTGAGACAGGTACCCCAGTTACTGTCACGCATGTCCATTGTTCAGACACGTTGCAAGTGCCGACAACACGTTCACAAGGTTACTCGCGATACGCGCTGGACGTCCACGCGAATTCAAGCACCAACGCATTTGTTCACAAGCCTGATTTCAAGGACAACATATACATACATGGCCGAAGCGGACTTCGCTCATCGTCACACCGCCCATGCGTCACAGCCAGTCGCACGAAGCCTCACACCCCGCACGCGAGCCCCTGGAGGCATGCCTTGGGGGAGAGGCGTCGCAGCGAGGCCTGTTCCTGGGCCCGAGGACACCTGCGAAGCATGGGCCGATTGACAAGATTACCAGTGCAGCTTCTAATGCACTGTCCCCGCTACCATCGGGCTCAAATACATTGCTGACCTGGCCGCCCCTCGCACGCGCATTCAGCGCAACGTTCCCGACGCCGCCCCCATATGCATTCCGACCGATCGCCATCCGTGCGCTGCTTTGGAGAGCGCATGGGCCAATGCGCCGCGCTTCGCCGACCTCCCCTCGCTGCCGATCCACATGCCATGGTCACCCAAGAAGGACGACGACACCACCAAGCAGCGCAAGTACCTGATCGAATCACTGCACCGTCAGTCGACCGAACAGTACACTGAAGGAGGAAGCGGCACCACGCCACCACGATTGCCCACCCGCAGCAGAAACCCCAGACCTGACCTACTGCGCACAACTACGCCATCCACATGCGACCCAGACTGCGCCCAACCACTACGCGCAAATGTCGAGCCAGACAAGCCAGACATGATCACCGAGGCGGACATCGAAGAGCACTTCGCCTACGTCTCATTACGACTCGGCCACGAGTGCCTGCCTGTGCCGACCAGCAACGGCTGGGCCAAGGCCAGGAGAGAGAGAGAGAGAGAGACGC